TTTCTCTTGGTATAATTTTCAATTCCATCAAAAAAAGATAAATTACTTTTGCTGTTCTCAATGATGCATCATCCATTGCATTTTTGCTGTATCCGAATGTAATGTATTTTGTTTATTTTAATATTTGAACACCAAAGGATTGTCCGTAGTTTTAACCAATCTTTTTTTTTTCTTACCATTTTTTAAACTTCAGTTGTTTTTAGCCTATTCGTTCTTCTTCCTCTCTTTCAAATTTAACGATAATTGTTTTTGACGTTATATGCTAAGTTTTTTTCTTCTGATAAATAAATTTACATATATATACATGTATAATTTTTGTCTTACGATGCTTATATTGCTCTGTCTTAGTTTGTAAATGTTATGTTGAAAAAAATTTTTTTCCCACCAACTGATCACAGCAGACAGATCAATTCAAACTTCCAACTGATATTTGCTTTCCAGTAACTGGGGCACTGACATCGTCGTCACTGCGGATCGGCTTAACTGCATATTAGAAATACAGCTATCAAACAAAAACAGCAACAAAAGAAAAAAAAATAGTCTACGTGATTTTGTTTTTAATGCTTGAAAAAACTCAATTATCGTCTAAACTTTCAGAGTATATGGGTTTCTACGTCATCAGTGTTCCAAGGACATATTGATGTGTCAAAAAACAGATGTACGTGGATAATGCCACGAAAAAAAGTTACGCATTAAAAATACTTTGATTGAAAGATCAATAAGAAAAAGAAGGGCTAAAATGAAAAACAAAGAAGAAAAGTTACGTGATTTTTTTCCCTAACTTGTATATTTGGTAATATCATACTTGTGTCCTCCTTTTGTTTTTCTTGTATATTTCAGCCTTATCTCTAAAAAGAACAAAAAAGAAAATAAAAAAAGAATGGTAACCCCAACACCGAATAATTGTCGTTAACAAAAAATTTCCTTGTTTTATTCACCTTTATTTTTTCCATTCCTTTCTTTCTTCCATCTTTTTTTTTCTTTTCGTTTTTGATAATCAAACAGCTGACATTCTGAAGCTGAAAAGTGTTGCAAAGTAAAAGAGACACGAAAAAAGAGACAGACAGGCGACTGCCACGATACTACAACAAAAATGTTCAAACTGTTTTGAACAAACAAAAATTTGCGAAAAAATAGCACGTAAACTCTTTTAAAAAGACTTTACTGTTTCTGACAAAAAAAAAAAAATACATTTATGGAATATGAATTGCAAATTAAAATAATTTTTTATGACTTGTAAAGACAAAGTCCGCTGTTGAAAATAAGACTGGATGAAGAAAGTTGATTTTTTTTAAAAACGCTAATTGAATATTACCTAAATCTTCAGCGTAAATGGGTTTTTACGTCACCAGTGTTTCAAGGACATGTTGATACGTCAAAAAACAGATGTAAGTGGATAATGCCACAAAAATAGTTCAGTCTAAATGTACTGTAATGGCAATAAACTTCACAATAAATTACAGTATTCTAGAAAAAATGAAAAAATAAATAAATAAAATTTGTTTCTCAAAACGTTCTTTCCAAGCTGCGCAAAAATTTAACCTTCCCACGTGTTATTGTATTCACAGTTGGAATCAATGTTTGAACTCCAGCATCGACAATGGACCCAAAAGTTCTGCTGCCCTCTAAAGATTCCAGCAGCCTAATGAAGACCGATACATCGTAATGCAGCTTGAAAACTACTAACATGACCAAACTACATCTTGATAAACATCATTCGTTACCAGTCAAATACTATACAACTGACACTACCAGATACTAAAATGCCGTTACCTCTAAAATCAGCTATACTTTCCAACGTCTTCTCCAACAGCAAACGCCTCATCAGTTTCAATTAAAGCCACACAAACGCTATCAACGGTGGCACAATCAGTATAAAGTGCTCCTGACTTATAATTTTCTGCTCATATCAAAGTCTTTCTGACCTCTAATAAACAACGATGAAAAAGTCCTATTTACTACTCATTTGAAACCCTTATTCCAGAAAATAACAATTACTCTTTGACTTCCAAGCGCACTGCAGTAAAAAAGCGTAAGCGCGTTAAAGGTGATTAACACTCCGATGCCTCGTTCTTGTAAAGTAATCTAAAAAGAAAATCTAAGAATCTTTGATGTATTTAAATAATATTACATTATATCTCCTACCAATAACCATTTTTTGATGAACAACTCACGATTCTGTTAAAAAAAGTGCATCGAATATGAGTGCTTTCTTTATGCAAGTCCTCTAATGCAAAAATCTTCAAAACCTTCCAAGTCAACGGTTTGATCTACATGTCGTCAAATAAACAAATTATTTACTGTTACTATCAAAATTCAAGACCTTCAGCCGCTACAGCTCCCTTTTCGGACTTCCTAGTGAACTAATGAAACCGGTTTTCAGTGTTCAAGGGTTACTAGATCAGTGCACGATAACAAGAAATAAACAATAACCAACTGCACATCCATCACCACTTCTGGTAATAGGTTGTCTCCAATGTTCATTACCAAGCGCCGACTACAACACCAGTGACGTCTTAAGTGAAACTTCTATAGAAATTAATTATTGGCGGCCACCAGCCTGACCTTAACATCCAGCAAAAAACTGAAACTGACAAAGCTGCAACTAAGACCCTGAAAACCCTCGTCCTCTGTGCCCATACAGCCAAGCGTTTTAGCGCTACCAAAAAAACCAAAAAATTGCGGCTAAAATCGGCACGACCACCAACATCCCAACCCAAAACGATCGCTCCTCAAGTAGGAGACTCAACCAGCTTCAAAAACTTCAATCACTGTAACACCAGCATCGCGACTTCGCATTACTACAGACCCTGAACGCCTCACCACTGCGCGAACAGAAACAAATTTACAGGAAATACCAAAGACCAAATGATCCAAAATAATAGCTCATAGAGCGAGGATCTCTCAATGCAGCGCACTCACATGAAAGGTCGCCCAGTTGTTTACACAAAAACAAAAGAAGAACGTTATTTATTTCACCTCCCCTTCCTCAGCTACCCCTCAGTACCAAACACCAAAAACGAGATCCCCTTGTACACCTCACCAATCGATTCAAAGCAGAATAGAAAAAAATGTCGCTGACGTCCAAAAGCTTGAACCGAAATTTACAATGAAGATTCAAATACTCTCTATCCCAGAATAACTAATCAAAAAAGATGAAACTCTATAGACCAAACACCAAAATGAACTTTTTTATGCTGCAGACACGCAATTACTACCAGTGCACACAGTAATATAAAAATGCACTCTTTTAACAAGCGACAGTTACTGACAAAAAAATCCATGACTGAGGCTGTGTAACTCACATCAGACAGGAGCAATGACGTAGCCTGCTCGCTACATCACATACAACTCCTTTCATGAGAGTCAAGAATCAGATAATGCGAACAAAAGCAACATATAACGACGGTAAAACAGGAAGAAATAGAACAAAGAAAAAGGTTATTCAAAGAAAACACTGTGCACAACATAAAATACTATCACAGTTTATAAACAAACAAAAGAACCCGAAGCGATCGTTTAACTTTGCATTCAAAACGTCCCGACCAAACTCACTCCGCTTAAAAGTATAGCTTGACATAAAAACACCAACTAAAACGGAAGGTGGTAAAACTTAAGGACATATAATAACTGACCAAGTTCACGATAAGACAATATGAGAAACTTTAATAATGGTTGAAAAACTTGATCTCAGAACCCGAATCGAGAGACATTTTTTAAGCAGAAGGGCGGCCAATAAAAGAACGATGAAGCAACGAGAGACGATAGTGAACAAGTATCAATCAAGAAAGGAATAAAATCCCACACTAAATGACTTAATAGTAATAAGTCTCAAGACCACAAAACAACATGACAAACTACTGAAGCCTCTAAAATCTTAAAAAGCAAATGAATTAATACTAGTACAATAACACCATCGCGCTTCACTGCAAGTTTAAACTTTTAGAAATTAACAATTTTTTACTTGAAGACTTTAAAATAAATTATGCAACTACAAATGCTGAGTGTTTCAAAGGGATGAGATGCGCAATCAAAGTTGACAACGCAAAAGACTGACTAGAAGTAACATTTTTATAGTAGCTGGGTTATTTAAATGCCCACACGACTGTAAGCAAGCTAAATTAAAGCAATGCTGGAAAAAAACGCAACCAAATTATGAAAAACTTTTCACACTTAGTAACAGTATCTATATAGTAGCCGTAAAATTAAAAACTTATTATGAATAAAACCCTTAAATGCTTCAAAATACAGATTTTAACACGCCACAACAGTTAAGTTAAGAGCGACCAAGTACCCAAACGAAGTGGAACGTATTTAAAACCTCGAAAATGGGAAAGGCAACCAAAATATATTACAAAAAAGAAAAGACCGAAGAATATAAATTATCGTTTAGAAAGGTGTGAAAATCCTGGAGGAGGTAGCAGCCACTGAGGCGGAGCTGCCTGAGAAACTGAGTTTAATGGCATTACCGGTACTTGTGTATTTGCAGTTGGAGTTATCAGCTGGTGACTCTGGCCAGAAGACGACTGCCCATAAAAATTATGTAGTGATGACTGTGGTTGATGTGAAGCTTGGCTTGAAACAGTCCATGTATTCTGCGATGCGTATCCTTGACGATTAGTGTTAGAATAACCTATACTTATAATAGTTGACACCTATCATTAACACTTACAAATTTATAAAATAGCCGAGTAAAGGAAAGGAATCAGTGCTTATCACTAAAAATAAACTTTAATTACTGCAAACCTGCTGCACTTAATTCTGGAACAAATCGGACATTGACATTTGGAAGTAAAGCTTTCAAGCCTTCTTGCCATTCACTAAGCTGCGAAGTACCAGGAGAAACAGCTGAAGGTGCTGTTAAAGGAGATAAAGACGTGCCGTGATTGAAGGAAGGGAATTTTTGTTGCGAATACCTGGTCGAAATTGTAGGCGGAGGATCCGTAAACTGATTATTGAGCATTGGAGGCTTACTTGTTATAGCGCTAAAGGGATTCAAAGACTGCTGAGGAGCGCTCACATTATGCATTTGGTGCGCTACTGGCTGACCTGCAGCCGGAAACCGTAGAGGAGAGTAGGAAAAATACTCTGTGGAAGAATTGCAACTGTTGACTGGTGTCTGTTCGGGTAATAACGAAAAAGTATTCTCAACTGGAGTGCGTAAAACATCACCTGTACCGGTAACTGAACTCCATCCAAACTGTTGTCCCATCGCATATAAGGAAGAAGGTGGCGCCAGCGCCTTGAAAGGACTAAAAACAAGAAGCCAATCAAAGCAACAGCGAAGAACTTCAGTAGATTAGGACTACATCTGGTTTGGATTTAACTATGACTTTAAAACATGATTCGTAATAAATAATTTCAATAAAAAATAGGAAACAACCGTGTGATAGCAAAAGAAAAGAACTTAATAGGATAGTGAAAAAATGCAGCTGTAGCACATTAACAGCAAAAAATACTACCTCTGAAGCGGCCCCTCAGTTGCATTCTCCTTTGCAACAAGATCTGCAAGACCTTTCACTGATTCATCAAATGGGTCAAAACCTGTAAGATGACTGTCTGAACCGGTTATAACTTTTACAGTAAAGAAGAATGAGGTACTCCCAAAGCCTCGTAAAAGTACATAAAATATCAATACACAGAAAATTAAAGGATTTTTCTGACTGGCCCAACTTTCACAGAGTGGTTCAGTATACAAAAAAAATAAAAAAATTGCAATTGCAAGTTGTTAGACTGCCGACAAGATCCTACCTTCACAAATGAAGTAGAATAGAAGAATCATAATCCTTTTTCCAGCTTACCTAAATCGTCATCACTATGCACAGTAATATGGGTCGGCCTACACAAAGAAACTTCCCCATCTGGTAGTTCCTTTAATGGAACTTCTTTCATTTTAGTCGTACAACTACGATCCTCTTCCAAATTTAGTCCCAATAGACGCTGCCAATCAAAACCATTTACAGCTGCTGGTTCCTGAGGATAAACTGAAGAGCCATCCGCACCGCCTTCAGACCAACTAACAACTTTTGACGATGAATCCTGAAACAAACAACATTATCTTCAACTCAAAGATAATAGTAAAGAAGAGAGCAAAGGAGTCACTAATTTGAACAAAAAATGGCGTAAAAAGACAAGCAACAGAATCCCTTCCCTCTCCCCCAGAAAGAGATAAATCCTTTCAAATTAAACACTGAAAGGTGTAGAGAATACTACTTTAAATAATTAACAAAATCCTCTCGATAAAAGTGACATAAATTTTTGAAACTGCAAAAACATTGTGGGCAAAATTTAACGATACAGCTATGATTTTATTATTTAGAGAGTCCTGGAGCATTAAATAAAGGAACCCAAAAGTGAGCCACTGAAGGTAACAGAGTGCAAGATCAAGTAAAATGTAGGTATCTTCACACAAAATAAGCAAAAATTAAACTACCGTTGCTTAAATAACAAAACCTCTTAACACAAACTGCTAGATAAACAGTAGTAAAGCTAGACAAAATTAAGATGATAAAAGAAAAATAAAGTTACCGTCTCTTCAGCCTTTCCTGTCGCGGCACATTCTTTACTATCCGGCGACGTCCACTGCGATAATCGCGATCTAAAAATATTGGGTGTTTCAAGAAACAACTAATAATTAATATAAACTTCGAAGCCATAATTTCAAAGGTCATCCAACAAAAATTACGCTGTGCGAAACAAAAGGCACAGCAGCCTACAAACTAAGAAGAGCGTATACAGGAATCATTTACCCCGAATGTGAAGTTTTTGGAGACTCTACAGATGTGGGACCAGTATCTACCTTAGAAGACTGTATGATTTCCGATGAACATCTCGTTACTGGAGGATCGACCTTTCGTTCGCCGTTTACAAGTGGGATCTGAGTTTTAATTGCTGTATCACTCACCTACAACGAAAAAGAAAAACACAAAATTGAATTTCACTGCTTTTACTCTCAAAATTAAAAAGCTAAAAGAAGATCAGTATGACGGGAAAGAAGAGGAAACAATAAAATAATCTAAATGAATTGTGCGCAAAAACCGTAGTGTACTTTGGAGATAAAAAACGAAGGAAAATTTGTACTTTTGTCAAATGTTCTTTCAGCGTCACCTTCTCTGAAACTTCAACATGATTCACCGTTTTTTCCGAACTGGAAAGCGTCGTAGACAAGCTTCTGAAACCTAATTTAAGTATAAATTACAATAAAGGCGCCTTCCTTTAAAAGCCGTAAATATATGAACTTATGAAAGAGAGTTATGAACAATAATACCTCCAAAAATAGACAAAAAAAACAAAGCATCAATGTACTCCAAAATAAAAAATACCACTAATAAACTAAAACAAAACCCAATGAAGGAATGAACTTTCCGACTCCGTCCCACATTAATTTCCAACAAATAAATTCTGGAAAATCAAACCCGAAATTAGGCGTTCCACTTCTAGACTTGGAAGCTGTCCTGCTCTGCTGTTTCTGTCCTGTGATAGTACTTTTTCCAAGATTTCTTTCTAGAGCTCCTGTAGACGACACTGTGTGAAGCGTTCCGTTACGGTCACGGCTATTACTACTAAAAGAAAAGACTTATGACGAAATGCTAAAAAAAATAAGAAGGACTTACAGCTAGATTTAACAACCTAAATAGATCCAGACAAAAAGTACGCTTTCTTGAAAAAAGCTTTTTTTAAATAAAAAATATGACGCTACCTACTAGCAATCCTCTTTAAAAAAAAATTTCTACCGGGGAACATTAAAACAACAAACTCACTGTGAGTGCTTTCGTCTAAAACTTGGCGGCAAAGCAATTCTCTCACTCAAGCCTTTGTCCTTTAATAAAGTGGCTTCAATTAATTTTTTTTCATACTCCGTGTGCCGCCCTAAATGCATATCGTCCTTCGTAAAACTAACTTCACTATCAGCTACACTGTGTAGATACATACATTCCTAAAACGAGTAATATGAGCCATAAATACACACCAAATTGTCACAACTAGTGACTAAAAAAGAATTTATAATAATGACGGAAGCAGAAAGTCGCAGTTCAGCGGAAAGCACAAGACACTCCAAAGAAAAAAAAATTTACGGCCTTATTGCAAGTCTGACCACGCAAAAAACTTGAGCAATACTTCGTCGTGCCAAGAGATGCCCTGACAGTACGACCATCCAGCGTTGCATTATTCACAGCCTAAAAAGGCAATTTTTTGAGCTTCCCAAACCTTAAACAGCGTTATCCGCTAAAGCCAACAAGGACGAGAAATTACGAATAAAATATATTATCACTTTTCTGAAACACGGAGGTCCCAGTGACAACTGC